AAAGCAGTGAAAATCATTAATAAGCAATCGTTCGATGGGCTGAATTGCAAAAAACGCATGATCGCATCGACTAGTCTGGTGCGCGTTGCTATTTATTAAATTTTATTTTGGTCCTTCTCCCAGGTGCTTTTGCTGTAGACTTTGATACTATCTGGTTCTGAATGAAGACGGCTGTCTAGATCTCGATATGTTATTTTTGATTTTTATTCTTCCATTTTCTCCGTTAGAAATTATCACTCGTAAATTGCAGCCAAGGAGCTGGCATCTATGCCAAACAGTTTGCCATTAAATGCCAGCAATAGTATATTCGTCTGTGTGGACGAAGGGCGTTGCGATATTGTCAAAGTGCTCATCTCGGGACCGGACGACACACCGTACCAGAATGGCCTCTTCGAATTCGATGTCTTCTTTCCCACGAGGTAAGTAACTTTGTCTACACATCATACGTTTTGGCGATAAACTTGAAGCAAACAGATCTTTATCTATATGAAGGATTACTGCTTAAACTTAGCATGTGAACTTCTTACCATAAAAAATCGTAAATTTTTGCATAAAGGATCGGGCATTCATTGTAAATTACCGAGCTGTCCTACTTTTCGAGCTAGTAATTTTTCTCGCATTGCTGGCTCAGTGGCAAAATGTCCGTTTGCCATGCGGGCATCTCGTGTACGATTCTTGCCACTGGTCTTCATTGCACCGATGGCTTAGTACTAGTGTTTACAGTACTAGTGTCTTGGGATCGAATTCCTGGTGGTATCACGAGCGTCTATCATGCCGATCTTCGGGTTCGATTCCTGCCGATGAACCACACTGCATCGGCAGCCCTGTGGCAGAGTAACATTTCGAGGAGCTGGCATTTATGCCAAGGAGCATAGATGCCAAGGAGCTGGCATCTATGCCAAACAGTGCCTCGGGTTCAGACCCTGCCGCTGTCCGCGTTACGCCTGTGGCTCAGCGGCAGGACGCCGGTTTGCCATGCTAGCATCCCGGCCTGGACTTCAGCCGCTGGCCTACATCGTATGGATAGCACAGGGGGAGAATGGCCGCCTAGTACGCTAACAGATTGGGTTTTACCGCTGGCCTTCGCACTGCATGAGAGTCTTAACGGCAAAAAACCTCCCACAACGCGGACGTCTCGAGTTCGAGTCCTGGCCCTGCCCACCACTGTGCTGGTGGCCTCGCGGCAGAGTGCTCGTCCAGCACGCTAGAGTATGCAGGTTCTAGTTCTGCCACTGCTTAACATTATATAGGTGGCGCAGCAGGAGACATGTTTGTCTACGACGCCGACCTCCATGGTTCGATTCTCAGCTGATCCCCTGTTTCTTTTGGCAGAACGCCTCAGTTGCATTTTTTGAGAAGATGCCTCACTATTATGAATTGGGGATGCAAACCCAGGCTGGTACGCACTAGGTTTGCCGGTGCGATCATGCGTTTTTGCGCCAAACTTAGATGAATGATTGTTGCTTTGCATTTAACTTGCATCCGTTTTGTATGAGGGGAATTGAGTAATTTCCGCTGAGCCGCCGTTCATTAAAAATTAACTGTTCTGGTTCCCAAATCGTTAGCAATTTTCCTGCCAAAATTTTCGCTTGCCCGTACGTGAGAAACATGCATATTTGGGGGGTCAACTTGAAATTTTGTAAGCTGTACATGGACAGAGAAACCCTCAAAATTCCAGCTTTCCAGTTCCTCTGGTTCTTCGCTGCCTGCTGCGGCGCTATAACGCTGAACGGCAAAAATGCATAATAGCTTGCACTGTTGTCGAATTTCACTTTTGCTTGTGGTCACAACGGTATGCAACATTTATTACCAAAAATACCAAAGCCTTTAACAAAATCCATTATTTTTTAT